GGACATATTTATCATTAAATAGAAAAACTGCCATTGAATATTTACTGGAAGTGAAACATGTGATTTTATCTTGATTCCATGTGATGTTTAATTGAGTTTCTGTGTTTTTTTTATGACTTTATAAGAGTGCATAAAGCGTGCCAATGGTCGACATATTTAAAAACCATCTCAATAGAGCACACTAAGTCGATATTGCTTCTTCAGTTAACATCATTGTGGAAGTTTTTGAACATAGTGGTATCAGTGGCTTTGCTTCCTCCTTGAGATTTTAAAACATCATTTACCTTTTTTTTTTTTTTTTTTTCTGCCCTGAGAATTCTGCAGCAGCAGAGATCTCATTGGTTGATGTAGCAGCCGGTCATGTGACAGTCGTAGGCGTTAGAAAAACAACAAAGCCGCCCCATGCATGATGATATTCGGTTGTAGGTGTCATAGTGAGGTGATTCTTAGGTGACTCTAATGGCAGAGCCGTGTCTATTTTTGTAACGTGGAGCTGCATTGTTTTTGGAGCATCAAAACTGTTGCTATGGTGATTTCTAAGACGGAGTCTGGTTTCCCTTAAATGTTCTAAAATGCTGATTGTCACAAAATTCAGGTGCATCAATGTTTAATGTTCAATTCTGGTGTGCGGAATGCCTGTACTTTCTTATTTATGCATTTATTTATTTTGCCTCCTTATTGGCGAAAACCAGAAGCGTTTTTTTTTGTTTTGTGCACTCCAATATTTGGCCGACAGACTCGTAAAGTTGAACAAAATTCAAATGTTTATTTTTCCCCGAGAGTCAGGAAACAACCGAATGCCTTATGACTTGCATCCATTCCTGATCTTCTTCACGACCTGTCAGTTAAGACAATAAAAGGTTCAAGTACCACAACAAGAATCTGACCGACGTCCATGTTTACAGGCCGAAGCACCAGGGTGGAACTTTTCTGACGACCACATTGAAATATTTCAAATTGTAGCATGACGACATTATAGTACAGTTAATGCAAATAGAGGAAAACAAGTGTCATATACAAACTCAATCTGGTGAAACGTTTTCCAGATTGCAAAACGCGGGCCCTGATGGATGTGCCAACTAGTTTTCGATCCATTTTTAGTGTGAAAACTACAAAACAAAGGTGCTGTCATCATGAGAGTCTTAAAGCATGTAACACGCCCGACAATAAACAACACAAGCCATGCAAACAACTCCTGCTTTCCATAGCAACAATGTTGACATTTTCCCAGCGGCAATGAGGATCATAAAAGTTGTCTCTGAACGATTACGTCAATTCTCAACTGTATACTATTCTGAAATAAAATCCACAATATTTTCAATACACTTGTAATTCCATTAACAGTTGTCTCTCTTCATTTGTTTTTCATCATGTGTCTTTGCTTTAGCTGATTCAAATCAGGCTCAACACTTCAATACTTAATGCCAAATTTGGACAAGTTGATTATCCATAGAAAGGTTTATTTAGTTTTTTTTTCTGAAATTAGATTTTTCTACAAATTTGGAAACTTCTCTTGCCATCTGGAAGTTGCAGTAATTTCAGAGTTCTAAGTTGGAGTCCGTTCTATGTCAGTTGTCACGGCAGGTCTGTCAGAAGTGAAACAGATGATCCAGCAGCTGCTTGAAGGCCCGGTTGAGTCTGAACAGCAGCAGGAAGCTTTTAATCATGATTGTGTGAAGAACGGGGCCAGACGCTGTCCAGAGTGTCTGCTGTTTCAATGATGAATGGGGCTTTCTTCATGACGCAGTGTTGGGAATGAAGAGCTTAAACGTCAGTGCTGGTGGAAGTCCATGGATACTCTACTCAACCAAAAGTAACAACAATAAATTAAAGAAAAAACAAATCAAAAAACATGTTGAATTGCTAAATGGACTTCAAATCAAATTAAACTTATCTTACAGGTGAATCACAACTGTTAATTCAATTCAATTATTAGTCATTATTATCCATCCATCCATTACCTATACCTTTTTTCCTGTTCAGGGTCACGGGGTCAGGGGTTGTTCCCGCCTCCCACCCAATAACAGCTGGTTATTGTTAATATTGACGAGCTAATGTGAGACTATTTCCAGCTTTAATATGGGGTGTTCGGGCGTTTCCTTTTAGCAAACTGAGTCATTTTAAGATTTAAAGCCAAAGGAAGTCATGTTATAAAAACAACAAGGTATTAATCCAGGAGATTTAAAATACCAAGAAAATCAATCAAGACAATTACTGAAAGTTGATTAAATGCACCACAAGTTTAGTGGATCACCTTATATTTTGCATTCTAAAATGACCTTTAAAACAAACAAAAGCTGTCCAACACATGTAGTTGAATAAAAGTGACAGTTTAGTCCAATGAATGAACTTTCCACCACTGCAACACTTCCATCCACGTCACGTTACAATACTAGTTAGTTAGAAAATTCTTAAAAACACTTGAAATTGAGTCGCAATGGCATGAAAAATCTACATGCATCGCTCCATGGCATTCAGTGGACAGTTGTAGTTCGTAAAAGGATGTGAGTATTTGTGTTCAACACATGCGGTCAGTAACTAAAGTCTGCTTCCTCATCAATACAAAAAAAGGACCTTTGAAAAAAAATGCTGATTTTGACAAGTAACATAAAAATGCTGCTAACACTTCCCTTTGTTGAGTTCAATGTTTTATATAATGTGGGTATTTTGACTCTAGTATCTTTTGTGTGATATCTATATTTGTAGAGGAAAAAAAATCTACTTTTAAAGGTACTCGAGTAAAGGACCTGAATATTTCTCTCACAGCTGTTTTCTGTTGGACCAGAAATGCTGGAATTCATCAGGTGATTTCCTGCTCCCTGGTTTGGTTTCCCCTCTGTGGTGAAGAAGGGCTCAACTCGTCCACTGTGCTGCTGATAGAACATTACAGACTGCAGTTGTTTGCTCCCGCCTGCAGCAGAGGACGAGAGCTCTCTGAAAATGTGTCAGATGGTTTACACAGGGCCCAGAGGAATGTAGAACCGGTGTGCTGACGACGAACAAAGTTTTTATAACACCAGGCTTCTTCAGTTCAGAGAGGGCATGCTGTGTGCATGTTACTATCTGCTTAGAATGGCATTTTTATTGAGTCAGGTGTTCCAATATGATTCAATTAATCAATTAGCTGACTGTTTTAAGTCATTCTGATAGAAAAAAAGCTTTAAAAGGGGAGTTTTTATTTTTATTTTTTATTGTTTATGTCTCTAAACTGAAATCATGTTTTAACTACAAGTACTCAGATCTGTTAATAAAGTCAAAGTAATTTTGCCTTCATTTCAAATCCATCTTTTAAAAAGTCCTTGCACTTGCAGATCCAGAAGATAAATATCATCTCTGACTTTATGTCTCATGATTGTTTGACATTTATTGATGCATAATATGCTGTAGCAATCAAATTACTATTAAAGTTAAGAGGCCTATATTCTTTAATATGATGCGTATCTTGTCCATAATTGATTTACTCAGTGGTTTTCTTCTGTTATTATTTAAAATGTGCAATTTCATTACAAGCTAAGTGAATAAAACGGAGAATTAAAATAAAATGAGAAGAAGAACGGGCTAATAGAGAATAGAAGAGGAAGAAGAACAAGAGGACACTTAAATAAAGAGGGAGTGCAGAAGCAGACATTTTGAATACTCGTATATGCCACACTTCGGTGAATTGTAGGACAGCACAGTTCTGTCTTACTGACTGAAACCTGAGTCACCTCCTGAAGTATCTGATGATCAGCGTGACTCAGGTTGTTGCTGTGGTGTGATGTGTTGAAGATACATTCTAAAGACATCACCCCAGAACGACTGACCGAGGTTACTGCAGTTCAGAACGACCCCAAAAAAAAAAAAACCCACATGCGTACGCCGCTCACAGCGTCTGACCCCAAAACGACCAATCAGCAGCGAGGTCCTGACTTATGATCCTTATAGACCAATGGATGACAAGCGCGTGAAGCACCTGTGCCAGCTTGTCAGCCGCCCTTTCGTACATGAAATGTATGAGAATTTTATGTAGCCTAGTAAATGATATCAATGATAAACAACTAAACTAACATGATGTCATTAAATGCGGTCTGTGATGCGTTCACGTGATTTTCTTGGAAATAGGAAAATAGAGCAGCAGCTTAGAGGATAAAGTTTTCCTGTGTGACCAGTTGTATCAGGTATTTTTTTTTCTTCTTTTTAACAGAGAGACCTCTACTGGCTAAGAAGAGAATTACAAACAAACTTTTATATCTTTGCTCTCAAAACACAAGTGAAATAAATCATTTAAAGAAAAATGCTTTTATGATAAAAGTTGAAATACAGTATTTCATTACGCTTCAAATTAAATGTAGTCATGTACACGTCAAATCTGAAGTTTCTACAACTGCCAAGTGAAGGTTTGTGTTGCATTCAGTGGATTAGCTGATTATTTTTGTTTGTACACTTAAGATTTAGCAGGTTTTCAGAAGAAAATGATCAAATACAAAAAATAAATACACAGAGTCTGACAGATTTGGGTAATTACAATAGATTAAATGCTAAACCTACTTCCAGTTTCTAAAGATAACCCCATTTTTTGTTTGTAAACCGTATGTGTGCTTAACTCATAAATCAACACCAACGCTTTGCAGTTAAAAATGTGAGTAACTCCAAGAATGAAGAAACCAAATTGGCATGGCTGTTTATCTTTGAGTAGGACACTGATTTGTGATTTTAGCTGGATCCTTCAACCACAGGTTTTGTCCCTGTAGGTAGGCATACATAGGTGGTTTACTATCTAATAAATCACAGCTTTTACATTTAAAAACACAAAAACTGACCATAAAGGTTTTTTCCCTTCAAAAATTAAGCAACGTTCAATTAAGAGAGAACAACATCGTTCTTGTTGATGACTAACAATAATCTGTGAAGCATTCAAAAAGTTTCAGTGCACCAAAAAAAAAAAAACACCACTGATTTAAAAGCCAGTACGAAATGGGTATCAAATGTGACATTCAAGAGGCAATTAATCGAGTCTCAAAAACCTTTGAAGGGAACTTTTATTTGAAAAAAGTTTCTGCAATGAGTAAAGTAAGCAACATGGATTGTATAAATATCTGTGCAACCAAAAAAAGAGCACACGGAGGAGGCACTTTACTGCCTTCTGCTGCTGCTGCCATGATACACCAAACTAACCAGCTTTATGTCCAGCTACAAACTTCAGAATATATCATGTTTTTAAATGTGTCATTTCATTAAGGTTTGTGAGAATGTATGGTCTATTCTAAAACAAATACAACAAAATAAAAAGAAGGTAATTCAGTGTTAGCAAAAGGAGAAAAAGTAGCCTGGGTAGATGATTTAAAGCAATTTAAACATGGAGGGTCAATCATTTGCCGTCCAACAAGTTAATGTTTTGTTTATGAGCTGCCATGTTATTTCAGAAGTCAGCGATCAGTTATCTAGCTCATGAGGATCAGTGCTAATCGGGCTAAATTAACAAAAAAAACAAACAGAAAAACGATAATAAGCAGCTATTTGACAATCACTGTGTGGGTTTCTCCTGCAGTGCTTTGGCCCAGAACCCTTCATGGCACAATAACCCGGACACCATCTGTTACAGCAGGCGAAGAAAACAATCAGTATTAACGGTTTAAGAGTTTGGAAATGCTCTTGATGCTTGTTGTAAATGGATGTTACAAAAAAAATCTGAATAAGACAAGGCAGTCTCTCTCTCTCTCCCTCAAACAAACTGAACCGACAGGATGAGTAATAATAAGTGCAACCTAGATTGTATTCTGGTTTCCAGCCCTGAACTGGATGTAGGAGCTGAGAGTGCCAGATGTTTTGTTAAAGCAGCTGGAGCACTGCATGTATTCAAACACATACTTCCATCCACTTCTGCTGAAGAAAGACAAAAAAAAAAAAAAAAAAAAAAGGATGCACGTGTGGAGCGTCTTTTGGACTATGAAACAGCACCTACTCGTACAAACGCTGCCTTCGATTCAAACTTTGCACCACCTCTTTATATTTTACATCAACGGTTGAATTTACAGAGAATCACTACTTTCAGAATACATTCATCTTTTTTTTTTTTTGTTGTAAAATTACCACAGCAACATCAACGATTCCTTACAAAAACAAAATCCCCCTCAGCTGAATCCTCCAGGAAGGAAAATGTATGGAGTGATGACGACCACAATCAGCAATATCATCATGAATTATTCTCGTTATCAAAGCACATCATCAGGTCAAACAAAAGAAATAAATACATATATAACAATATGATAACACTGAAGTCTGCTTTGGGGGGGGTTTGGGTGGGGTTGGGGTTAGACACCCAACTTGTTGGCGATGGTCATGACCACTTTGAGGATGGGCATGAAGGCAGAGATCTCGCTGAAGTTGCTGCTGCTGACCACCTGAGTGTGGACCTCAAGACCACGCTGGTAGTTCTGACTCGCCACACAGCGGCTGATTTCATGGAGCCCGTTCAGGATGTTGTGAGAGAGCTGAGAGATGAAGAGGGGGAACATTACTATCTGACGCGTCATGTTGAGCTGATTACGTGTCAAAAATTTGTTTAAAGAGTTGAGCAAAACTAGGGTCCAACTTGCACTCTTGGTGTTACTGGAAACCAGAAGTTCATTTATTTAAAGATCAAATAAAAAAAAAAGGTCTCAATAGTTATTTTCCGATATTCCACTTTTAACATTTTTGTATATGTGCTTTAAATAATTATCTGGGTACATTTGAATCACTTTGTGTGCCTGTGTTTATTTCTTACCGTCTGCTCTCTGAGCTTGTCATACAGGTATCCCAAACGTTTGCCTGCATCTTCAAGTTTCCTCTTTGTTTGCTGAAAGGAAACATTTTGGTGGTTATTTAGCATCCAATAAAAAAAACATATTTTCCTTCTATCATGTCAACGGATGTCACACATATAGTGAGACTTACTGGGTCTCTTGCTGCGAGCTGGCAGCGCTGCACCAGGCTGTCAAATGTAGATTTGAGGACCATGTGTTCAGCTGGGATTTCTTTCTGCTCCACCCTCTCTGCTGGCAGCTGCTGGAGGAGCTGAGGACGAACAAGGAAACACACACAAGGTTGTTGACGTGTTTGCCTTGTTGCGCAATGCTGTTGAGAATTCTTCAGAACACACCAACCTGCACGCTGGGCTCCTGGGGGGCTCCAGGGGGAACTTGGGTGTGATCGTGAGCCTGAGGAGCCTCCATGGGGAATCCCATCACAGGAGCAGTGATGGGGGCTGGTGGAGTGTAGTTTTCAGGGACCTGAACACACACACGATAATAGTAAGACACATACAAAACACGAGCTGAAATGTGCTCAGGATTTTAGATTGAACACTTTGTTAAAGTTTTACTAAACAGCTTGGATGGTAGTTAGCCAACTGCTATCTTAGTCTTATCAGCTTCATGCTGTTGATGCCAGCATGTGTGCTAACAGCATCTGTCCTCTGCTGCACAAGATCAAGTTAATGAAAATAATCACTATTCTATACAAAAGTTTGTGACACAAAAAAATTGCTTTGGTTTCTTCTATAACACTGATTGGATAAACTGCATAAGCAAGGCAGCTGGTATTGTAAAGTTTCAGGATCATAAAAAAGGAAAATACGTTTGAGAAAACACATTTAAAGCACAACATTTTCATTTACACATTTACACGCAGTTTCGACTGCGACAGAAAGCAGAGTTACCTTCTTCTTCCTCGGTCCACCTCGCACCGCTGGTGGGTCATTCCAGCCCTCTTGAGGTCCTACATTTAGAAAAAAAAAGGGGGAAGGGAATTAGAAAGACTCTTATCTGCTTTTCTTACTGTAGTCACACTCGAGCTATCAAAGAATTCTTTGAGCCAAGGTTAGAATACTTCTTAAAAATGCTCAATTTAAGAACAAGTCATTAAGCCAGGGGTTTCAGCAGTTTTAGAAAATATGATAAAAAGCACAAACAGGCTGCTCATAGTTTCTCAACACCAACAAGGAGGGAAAATTACAAGCATCTCATACATTGCTTTTTGAGCTCAAACATGTACTGTATGTATCAATTGAGAATGTTGAAATAGCTCAACTTGAGTCTTAATTTGCACTTTAAATGTACAATTTGATTGAATCGTGGATAATGTGGTTAAAAGCTAAAATACTTGTAAATAAATCAGCTCCAAAGTCAATACATTTCCCTCAAGCGTACAAGCAAAACACCACCAGAAATGCACCGAGTTACCAGAAAAATATGGCATCCCTGCACAGAGGAACGCCATGAGATCTGGCTTAATGTAAAGATACTGTATAAAAGTGTAAATTAGGAAACGTGTGTTTTTTTCTGGTAACTCAAGCCTATATTAAAATGCACTCATATTCCATATCCAACCCTGACCCTGTCACCTTGGAGGTCACACTGGGAATTCAGCCAGGGAAAGAAGCCTGCAAGTCAAATGAGGTTGACAGCTGAGTACCATTCAAATAATCATTAGCAAACTCTTATGAATGGATATGTTTCTATTTTTTTTTAATCACATAAACATGTGGAAAGCAAATGGAATGATTGTGATTGAGAACTTTTTAGCGACAAGTAGTGTAACATGACATTTACCTATAGGGGGAGGGGCAACTGGCTTTACAGCAGGAGCACCGGGCCCTCCCTGTGGATACCCAGATCCGAGAGGGTTATAGTAACCAGATGCCGTAGGCGGTGCAGGCCCCTGGTTGTGGTGGGTTGCTGAATACATGGGGACCGGAGCTCCAGGTTGTGAGGTGGGTGACATGGGGCCTGATGGTAGAGAGGTAGACGGCATGAAGCTTGTTGGTGGCACCCCTGGGCTTGGCATGGGGGGCAGGCCTCCAGTGGCGGATGATGAAGGAGGGAGCGGAGGTCCTGATAGGCTAGCAGCCGGCATTGAAGGACCTGGAGGAGGGAAGGCTGAAGGTCCACCAACGGGCATCTGCTGGGGCTGGAACGGCTGATTAGGCAGGAAACCTGGGGAAAGACAAAGACCAATAAGTCAGATAAAACCAGTTTGAATGTTTAAAAGCATTGACTAGCAGTCAAGTGTCAAACCTGGAGCAGGAGCTGGATGTTGGGGGTAGGGAGGCCTCATGGCAGGGCGGTTGGTGCTGGGTGGCAGGACATGAGAAGAAGGCGGGAAGCGGGGCCCAGTGCTGGCTGGAGCAGCTTGTGGAGTAAAAACTGACGGCATCGGAGGCTGTGGTTGGTCCGCCTGAGAGGGAGCGGGTGGCTGGTACTGACTCTAAGATTGTAAAAAACAACAACACAATGTTTTAATGGAAACCTAAAACATATTTGATTAAATAACAAAGATTATCTTGTAAAATATATGATATAATGCTTTTGACTTGTACCATGACTTGTGCTTTCGGTGCAGCGGTCTGTGCAGCAGGGGCGGGCTTGGCTGCGGACATACCGACTCTGTTCAAAGAGTTTGGAGGCTGCTGTCCACCGGCGGCCTCTCCCTGAGCGTTGAACAGTCTGTCTCTCAGCATCATGATCCCAGGCTGAGAAGACACATTCGTCAAAACACACATTGACTAAAAATAAAAAAAAAACTAAAAAAAAAAACTAGGAAAGCTTCTTACTTGGTCTGAGTTCTCAGGCAGGTAGGTCATGGCTGTGGCTAGACTGCCCTCTGCAGCCAGAATGCCGGCGTAGCACGTTAGCTTCTCAGCGAGGACGGGGCTCTGGACTGCCACCTCACTGTTCCTGAGGCGCTCTATGGACTTACGCAGCATCATTACTTTTTCAACCAGGTCCTGAAAAATACAAAGACAGAAAGAGTTTCTTGAATACCCTTATTTCCAATTTACGTGCAGCAAATACAAGTTGTAAGTTGCAACTTCTTCGAACAGAGCAATTCTCAATTAACCCCAAAGAAATGTTTGGTATTTACTTCAGATATCTTTAAAAAGTACCATGAAATGAATACTATTTTTGCCTATGTAACTATTCTACTATCCTTTTTCATTAGTTTCTAATGTGGTAGCCAAAAAAATAAGACCCCCTTTGTATGTTGAAACACGTTTCGCTAATATTCATGATCAGTGCAACAGTCTTCTTCGAACCATACTAACTTGTGACAAACTATGACCAAAATCTGACAAAGACGTATTACCTCTAGACCAAGAGGAGAGGAGCTGTCTTTATGTGAGGCCCAGCACTCCACCAGTTTCTCAATGTTCCCAGAGCAGATGTAACACAGACAGGCCTGCAGGCAGCGCTTCTCCGAGCCCTCGTGCTCCAATCGGCCTCCAAGGGTATCTAAAGAGAGGGGGAAACTTTTACTAACTGTACTGATTGACACGTCAAAGTCCTCTTAAAAGTGAGGCAAGTTGCAGCGTAAAATTCTTGCATGCAACTTACCGCACAAACGTGCAAAATCCTCGGGGTGAGCGTAGGTCAGCAGGGCAGCGAGAGCCTCCTTCCAATTGTCCAACTCGCAGCTTTGCACGATGTCTCTCCAGTTCTGGGTCACCACTGATGATATGAGCTAAAATTGGGGACAGAGTAAAAGAACATACAGCTGAAATATTTTCCCCCTTCTTGTTTTTTTTTCTTCCAACTATGGCACAGCAAACCAACTATACCCTTACCATTGAAATGCTATTCGTTTGCTTGCTTAGGTATTTTTGCTGCGTTTTCTTGAGCAGCTCCTCTCCTCCGCTGATTGACAGCAGGATGGCTTCAGCGTAACGACCGTCATTCAAACACAGATCCACAGCTCCCTCGAAGTTTCCAACCAGCAGCGCCTGGCTTATCAAACCATCCGTGTCTGCAAAAGCACAACGAGGTAGTTAGCCAACAAAACCTTAGCCCTTAATTTACCGTGTAATCATGAGACACAAACAGAGGTAATGTGTAAATCACATAATTTAGTGTGTGTACCACAGGTTATGGGAATCTGGAAGTTAGAGTTGTCCTTTGGGGTCTGACTGAAGAAGTCTGCTGGTGAAACAGATCCTGAGGTTCTTGCATCAGCAACTGCTTCATCAGACCTCTGGGAAGAAACAAAATACAGTAATTAAACAAAGGTTTAAAACTTGGCAAGCAAATTTAAAAAAAGAAGAAGATTTGAAGAACATTTTGTGTGCTGACCTCAGTGGAGAGCCGCTGCATCTTTTCTGCAAGATCTTTAGCATCTACTCCATGTCCATTGTGCTGAAAACTCTTCCCCAGGCATTTTGAGATCTGAAAAAAAAAAATTGACTTTAATTATTTCAACTTTTCCTTTATTTAAAAAAAAAAAAAAAAAAGAGGTTTAATTGGGACTTTTTATGCCTTTATCGAGAGATAGGAAAGTGGATAGAGTCAGAAATCGAGGGGGGAGAGAGAGAGAGAGATCGAGAGAGAGAGATCGAGAGAGAGAGAGAGAGAGAGAGAGAGAGAGAGAGAGAGATCGAGAGAGATCGAGAGAGAGAGAGAGAGAGAGAGAAGACATGCAAAAAGGAGCCACAGGTCTGATTCAAACCCGGGCCGCCCGCTTGGATGACTACAGCCTCCGAACATGGGGGAGCACTAACCAATAGGCTCCAGGCGCCCCCAAACTTTTTTTTTTTTTTAAACCTCTACAAATCACAAAGGTCCTCACTGTCAATGATGTCGAGAAAACAAAATAAAATAAATAGCACCAACAGAATAACACAAAGAATGGCAACAACGTGATTAAAAAGAGTTGCACAGCTCTAGTCACCTCTTAATATTTGTATTTATTTATTTATTTTACTTTAAATGCACTTGTCTATTGTATAGCAAATTACCAATATGTTTGCAGAAGTTGTCAGTCAATCAAGGAAAAAGGATTGAAAAATGATGTGAAGGCTGCCATATGTGTGGGTATATGCATGTATGAAAGTTTATGTCTATCTAATATGAAGGAAAGGGTGTGTGTATACATTTAAACTAACCCATAATTACAAACGTGAGAAGTTATTATGTTTGGTGCAAATTTACATGTGAATGTAGCAGAGGGGGCAAAAGTAGTTTATCCACAGCAAGTGTTTGTCTGTGGGAGTTTGAGCATGAACCAGTCACTAGAACATGTTGAGAAGTGACTTTGAGACTGATTTAATGAAGAAGTAATAAATGGATAAAATTTGCCAACTAAGGCTTTATGACGAAAGAAAAAGGAAACAGTGCCTGTCAAATCTCACAGTAGGAAGTGCCGAACAGACTTTTTCATGTTAAATGCAATGATGCGTGGATTAACTGTTTCCTGTAGTGAATCTGAGAGAGTGATAAATGGACTCTAGGGGTTTCAGAGTGGTGACAGAGGTGTGTAATGTCACCATAATCAAGAACAGATAAGAAGTCTGGCTCAGTGATTTGTTTTCTGCTGAGTAACAAGAATATCATTTTGTTTCTATAGAGGAATCCAGTTTTTTGGTCTTAGCTTGTTGGCAAGTGTATTAATGTAGAATTTGAACATGAATTTGTGATCCAACCAGTTACAAGATATTTCTATTCGGAGACTCTTTCAATGACATAAAAGAAGAGGATATCATTTATAGGAACAAGCTTATGTATGACTGATATCTGCTAAGGTTATAAGTTACAGACAGAATACCTTTTTCTCCAGTTCATCTTTGCTGAAACCCAGAAGTCTGAGGAATTTAATGCGGGCTTCATCTTCAAAGTTCACCTTTAAAAAGAGAAGATGAATAAGCTCCAAGTATGACAAACCACACTGACAGATGGACTCATGTGATTTTCCTAATATCCCACCAGAAGGAACTTCCAAATGTCCTGCTCAGCATCTGACTTGGCGTTCTGAATCTTGGCCTGGCAGTAGTTGTTGAAGGAGCCCGACTGCAGCGCCGCCTGCAGCTCCCTGGAGCGCTGGAGGAACTCTGTCTCCGTGGTAACCTGGCTCACAAACACTTGTCTGGGGACGGGCTGAGGGCTCTGCACCGGAGCCAGCTTGGGATTCTCAAAGGTTATCAATTTTCCTCCAAACTGATGAATAAAGAAAACAAACAGATCTATCATACTATAAAAGACCATGTGAGTTTCAATAGACTTTTTTTTAATTCCCCGTCTTAAGTTTCAATGTCTCACTCACAGCAAAGGAAGCCCCCACTGGTCTGCGCACCCACTTTGGGGGCTTCTTCAGAGGGGGGACTATAGTTTCCTGCATTGTAGGCTGAGGAACCTGCAGGGGAGGAAGCACCTGCCCTGTACCAAAGGGATCCATGGTATCAAACGAGGAGGATATCTGTGAAATAAAAGGTTTAATATTAATAAAAAACACAACATATTAGGGTAGAACTGACAGTCGTTCTACATTATGTTGATGGTCGACTGAAGAAGACTTTTACATTTGTTTAACTAAATTGTGATGGAAATTTTTAGCCATTTGTAACAGTTTTAAACCAAACAATTCATTTCAGGGTTTAAATAAATACCAGCAGGTATGTAAAGTAATTTAGATCATTCATACTTAGCGAAATTAGCTCTAAAACTTCAGGCAGTCATTTCACTTTCATTCATATTAAATGTTGTATTCTGTTAAATGCAGCTGTTCATAAGTCGACATTAATCACTTCCCTCTAGCACCATCTTGTGGTCAAACACTGCAGCTCTGAACACGCTTCTAGATTAAAACACAGTATCCCTTCAGAACAGCCTCTACCTTATCAGCTGTGCTTTGCTGCTCAGTCTTTAAGCTCCCTCCCATCACTGAGTAGATGGTGATCCTCCCGTCAAAGGATGCGGCTGAGAGCAGGGCTGGATTCCTGGGACACCACTGGACGTCAAAACACCACTGGTTTGTTGTTGGAAGCTCGTAAATGACCTACAATGAAATAAATGACATGAAAACACACTTAAGTAAAGAACAAACAAAGCAAGGAAATTCATGAAGAAAAAGGAAGCATATTTTTTGATATATACCTCTCCAGTGTTTGGGTTCCAGCAGAGGATCCTGTTGTCTTTAGCACTACTCAACAGGAGCTCAGGGTCAGCTTGGCTCCAGGATATGGACAGAATTCCCCTGTAATAAAATACCAACAGCAGAAGATTGATAGGTAGAACTCTAGAAGATGGTTTAAAAAAAAAAACAGAAATGGGTGTTACGCTCAAACTTTTAAAACCTCACCTTGTGTGGTTTTCAAAGACTTTAAGGGGAGATGTGGCAAATCGGAGGTCCCACATCTGGATGACTGGCAGTCGATCATCTTCAGAGGCCAACACCAACTGAGTGGCGACTTCAGGGTGCCAGAGCATTCCTGAGCAGTGCATCTGAAATCAAATAATCAAAAAGACTTTGAAAATCTTGAAACACAACCGTTATGCCTGACCTGAAAGGGGTGGTAGGTTTATAAAGATACTCTGAATTTTGCCTTACCCTCAAAGGTTCCTATAAACAATGTGACTGTTTGAAAATTCTACTTTAAGAACCTTGCCGCAACAGAAACAGAGAGAGGATAATGAAAACTGAGGTCTGTATAGTGTGTTCAGATACCTTCGGCTGGGGGGCTGAATGGTTTAGGTTGTTATACTAGTTGCTACAACCATCAAGTAGGCTTTGCAAGTTTGCAGACATTTGGTCAAAACCATGCAGGACAGAAGCTCTATAGCTGATACGGACTATGTTACTAAATTAGGCAAAGGACGCATGCATTCTTTATTCACTTTGTGGAAATCAGATGTTTTCACTCAAAAAGAAGATAATTGAGGACTGTAAATGTTCAATCTTTTAATTTTGAGTCTCAACATAAAAGCTCTTTCAGGCGCTTGCTGCAGCTGCTCTGAAGGTTCATCAGACTGTACAGAAACTGCACAACAGCTACTCTATTTATATTTCTTATTACTGTTGGTGAAGATGTATTGCGTTGAACAGTGTGCAGACCTTGCTCTTTTTTCTGCAGTTTATTTTTATTTTTTGTCCTGCACCTGTATGCAATTTGTTTGGATTTGCACCCACTTGTCACAAAAGTGACATAAATGTTGGGTCAACCTAAAAATTCCTTCATGAATTTTACTTTTGGTAACATCCAACCAGTTTTCTGAGCTACTGTTTTGCTGAGAGGGCTCGTTGCTTACATCTGTACGTGTTGCAGAATCCCAGCAGACAGGACTGCAAAGTACACAAAAAAGTAACCTTAGACTTGAAACCCCTGTGTTCTGTATTAAAGGTCACCAACCCTGTTACTGTGGTCACTGATCTTGATGATTGGCTCATTCTTTCTCAGGTCCCACACAACTGCTTTCCCGCTGGGATTGGCTGAGGCCAGGATGTGCTGGACCTGCCTGTTCCAGGACACGACACTGATGTCTTCAGCAGGCTGAAAGAGGAGACGAGGGCTGTTAATATCAAGACGAACCTGAACACGTGCATGATAAAGTCAGGTTCCTGCTATGCAAACAATCTCTACCAGGCCTGTGACATGCAAATAGTGATTGTGCCTATTCAAATGGCTCTGTTTAGAAAGCTGCTGACACTGACGCAGGATTCAATTTATTCAGTAAGGCAAAGAAAAGCATAAATAAACTTCTTGTGGCTTTCATTCTTGACTCATTCATACATAAAACTACAATACTAAAGACACAAGGTGCTGTTTCGTTCTGAAGTTGGTTGTTTTTACTCAAACATTAGTTTGCAAATACATCTCTAGACGCGCTGGGATGCTTTTGGGTTTCAGTTCTTTCAACATCACCCATTTCAGGTGACCCATCCGGGGTTGCATCCCAGCAGCAGCAATCCACAGGCTCGCCCTCTTTATCCCAAAGCCACCGGGTGGCTTTAGTGATGGAATCACTCAATCCGCTGGTCACTTTGAAATTAAGAAGCCAACTCATCTCTCACAAGGGTTTTTGTGATATTTAAAAACCTAGGACCTCTCAATCTCACACTCACCTGTGTCTTTGCTCCTGGTGTCATTGGACTGCTGAAGTTGTTCAGATCCCAGATATATATCTCTGAATCATTTGCCCCTGATGCAAGAAGATTACTCTGGGATGGGGTGAAAATGAAGAATTCAGTACGAGTACTTCAGTAGCAGAAAGCAGCGAAAGTGAAGTTCTATATAAACGGTCTCTCTCTTTGACAGAGCAGCCCGTGAGGGAGCACATTTACCTGAAAAGGGTTGAAGTCGAGGGCTTTAATGGGTCCCGTGTGCTTGTCGGACTGTCCCACAATTGCATCTGCTCCAGAATTCATTATGACCTCTGGGTTATATACGGTTAAAGTGCCATTTTCACTTCCACCAACCAGTCTTCCTCCAGTACCATCAGCTCCTGCGCCAAAATTCACCCATACAATACTGTGCAACCTGCGGAATATGAAAGCGTGATTTTTTTTATTTGCAGTAATCTGTGAACTTCAACGGAGGCTATGGGTTCAGCTCTTTAACTATTCCCCCTTTTTAGCACTACAAAAACTGGGCTTTCCAGTAAATAGAAGCTCGTTATATATCATATCTGTGGCTGCAACTACATTTTAAATACAATTGTACCCATTAGACCAAAATAAAGCAAACATCAAAGTGTCTATGAAAGGACAAAGACGGGTCATACTTCTCTATAAAGAATGATGCAGACAGGGGGATTACGGATTCAACTCCTGACAAGATATTGTGTCTTACATGTGAATGATGTTTTACCTGTTTGCGGTGGGTAATGATCCCTGAGCTGCATCTCCAGAGAGGGGTCAGAGAAATCCACCTCAAATATCTCCAGGGCAGCAGTGGTGTTGAAAGAGGCATCGAGCTGCTGTGCTGATGTCCCTAACGCCAGGTGGATGGGATGGTGCCCTGTGGGACTCCACGCCTGGTGGGCAGTCCTCTGGATCTCCTTCAGCCTCATTTTCCTCCACAAGTTTCAAGTCCTGGACGAAACGAACCATCACAGAGTACATTTATGACCATGACACTACCTATTGATTCAATAAATACAAGTTATAAAGTACAAACTGGGTTTACCAATCACTGCTAACAGTGTTTTTAAAGGCTCCAACAGGGTGTCACCCTTACTGCTACATGGACTCCGACTATTTCCTGAAGATACTGTCTAGCCTACTAAGCAGATAACTTTCACCAGTATTAAAGCTTTTATTAAAACAACAAAATGTGACATGTTACCTGTGATTGTCGGCATTTGAATATTCCCAAGCCAACTCACTCAAGGCTACAAAAAAAAAAAACCCTCATCAAACATCCAGTAGCCTAAAGCTAACGCTGCCATATCGTTAACTACAGCTTCAACAAGCATGTTTCACAAACTTAGGCGTAAACGACTATTCAATTCAATTAGTTTATCATCAGGGCATCACTTTAATGTTTGAGGAGATGTCACACATGCTTAAATGGAAGTGTAAATGAACTGGTAAAGCGGAAAGGCAGCCGAGCTCTTCCAGTAGATAACCGTAGCCAATGTTGCTATGCGCTAACAGCCACCACCCTTTGCTGTTATAATCGAGTAGAAATGAGGTTAATTCTGTATCAGACACACTTAAAACCCAGCAGAGAATAAAGAAATAAATGTTTTTAACTCACGGCAACTGTCAATTCCACAGCCTGACTGTCTGCATCCACCAAAAAAAGCCTGAAGAGCCAGCTACTTATCATCCGAGCTAGCAGCTTAGCCACAGGCAGATTCCGACCAAAGTGCTTTGCCGTGTTGTCACTAAGCTACGGAAGCCGACATGGACGTTTCTCATTTCGCGGTGGCCTAAGGTAACCTCGCTTTCAAAGTTAACCCAAGAAAATACTAACTTGTATGTAAAAAAAAAATGAAAGAAAGATGTGATGTTTTAAAATGTACTTTGAAACATTTTATATCCTTATTTTTAAATTAAACAAACAATTACTGCAGGGTGAAATAAGTGTCCACACAGAGCAAGAGCCACACTGAGATCTTTAAGTGTTAACATTTATTTTATTCTTGACAGAAATATATATACACAAGTAGAATCGGAATTAAGTCGTTAAATAACATAATTTTTGACTTCTTCTGGTTGTTTTTCAGGATCTCCTCCTCTCTCCAGGTACAAGTTGTTGTAGGGATACTGTTTCGGTGCCTGGAAGAAAGAAAAAACAGTTCGCCATAAGGTGCATGTTATTTAAAGGAAACAAAAATAAAAAGCATTTCATCTGCAGGCCACAAATCACCTTCAAAATGTGACAACTGCATGAATCAAGATCACCATGAGCGTTAATGTTACATTTCACTCCTTTCTATCGAAACATTCCTGTGTGGGCTGCTTATGATGCGTTTACACGATTTAAAGGATTTGAGTGAAATTGAGGGGTTGCAGAAGTGACAATCAGGGCTGCAACAGAGATGTCATTGCCCTTGCATATTCACATAAGCAAGTCAGTGGTGGATTTATTTTTTACTCTGCTTTGTGTCTTCAGGGCTGTTACTGAAGAGCAACCTATAAAGTGAAAACAATTGATTATAGCTGAAACAATTTTACAATTAGGTTGTTAGCTTGTAGTTGTCTCTGACAGCTGTCCTTGGTATATGTCACAAAGCAAGTTGACACAGGTTACCATTAAGGTTTCATAGGGATACATCGAAAAAGGCTTCTTAAGTTGAATTGAATCACAAACTCAATATTGTTTTCAAATATTGTTTTTTACACTGAATTAATTTCCTATATCTTATATATTTTTTAGATACGTCCATCTAGCTTTGTAATCCTCAAGTCTGAGCAGAGCTTTGCAATACTGAGTTCAATTTGTTGATTAAACAGCTAATAGTCTTTAACACTCAAATGTTTTCATTTTATTGGGTATTCAGCCCAAACTTTCAATGCATATGTCAAAATACCCCAGTGATGTTATGGTGCATTATCCAATATGTAACAACAGAAGTCTACTTAAGAACAAAATCAAATAATTTACTAAACATGAGTATCAAGCTTTCTCCATAAATCCTAACCCTTTATTAACTTTTAATAATTAAGTAATTTCTAATCTCCTGGAAATATTATGTAGCACACAAAAATAATCCTAGCGTGGGTCTGTACTTACAACAGCTTGGTAAGATGGAAATATCTCCCCAAGGTAGAACATGAGCAGTATAAAGCCGAGGGAACCAAACAGTTGTTTGCACATCGAGGACCAGGACAAAAGAGTGGGAGAAGTATCCACACGGTTCCTGATGAACATGTCGAAGTCCCAGTGCATCTAAAAATAGACAAAGAATCACGACTGATTATTTGTTACAGGCAAACTCATACAGTGATAACTAGCTAGGCTGAATGAAGAATAATGTATTTTCTTATTATTTCAATTGTATTATTAAAGCAAGAAATTCTGTTGATATTGAACTACTCGAGTGTGTGGATACCTCGCATGCACAATCTTCATTGTTTGTACAATATTGTGTAGATGTTGTGTCTCTTTATACACTACACTAATACACTATAAAATACACAGACACTTGTTACAAAGAATTATATATTTTTGTCCTGTATACATGTATTTTTTATTCATAACTGTAACCAAGATATTTACTGATTAGGGCATTAATTACAAATTAATGTAGAAATTGATTTGACTTTACTTGGGCCTTTTTAACATAAGCAGTTTTATAAACACATTAGACCCTAGTAAAGTTGATCTTCGTACTACAAGTGTTGCTGGAGTATTTTGACCTCTTCTAAGTCTTTCACTCTTCATGCACCTTGGTAGTTGGTGAAGTTGTGCTAGACAATCCTCTGCTTCTAAAATAAGCAAGTTTGTCAGCACTGTTTTCCAAGAATCATCAGAACAGACTCACTTGGAAATGGCTAACTGATATGCAATATAGACAAAGCTCTCACAATTTCATACAAGGATAATCAGAGACGTTTGAAGTTTGAAACACATCTGGATTACTAAAAAGAGTGCAAAAAACATGTAACAAAAACTTTAAAAAAAACAAAAAAATAAACAAAACAGCTCCAAAAGGCATGTTTACAGGCCTGCAAACAACTGTTATTTTTTGCCTGACAATATATCAGCATACAAATGGCCAACACATCTGAAAGCACATGCACGCTTTTATTACCAGCAGGCTGGACTATTGTAACGCTCTCCTTTCTGGTCTTCCTAAAAACACAACACATCGGCTACAGCTACTACAAAACTCTGCCACACGAGTACAGACAAAGACCAGAAGGAGAGCACACATCACACCTGTTTTAAAATCGTTACACTGGCTGCCTGTTAGTTTTCGTGCTGATTTTAAAATTCATTTTATTAGTTTATAAAGCATTACATGGCCTTGCACCAGACTACCTATCAGATATGATTTTAGTTTATGAACCAGTACGGCCCCCTCAGATTCCTCCACTTCCTCTCTCTTAGTTGTTCCACAGAGCAGGACAAAAACCTTCGGCGATGCTGCTTTCAGCTGTTACGCTCCGACTTAAACGCAGTCTTTAAAACTCATCTATTCAGTCTGGCTTTTATATAGAGTTTTATATTAATTAAAATCTTAACATTACTGTAGAGGCCATTTTAATCATGAGAACTTCAGTTTCAGAAGTATGGTTTAAGTTTGTGTTAATAAGAGTATATTTTTTGTGCTGTAAGAAGTAAGTATTAATTTATGCTTAGTACTTGATTTGACATAGAAACCTTTATGGTGAATAATGGATTTATTTGGGCATATTTTGTGTTATGGGTGGAGCCGAGTTAATTAATTTGGGTGCGATGCACAGGTGGTGAGAAAAAAGGTAGATCGTTTTTTGTTTGTGGACTGCGGTGGAGGTACAGGAGCCACGCAGCAAATGTTTTTTGATCTTTTGTTATGAGTTTTGATATATTCACTTTGGATCTGTTCTGGAAAGTGGAATCAGGAATAAAATAAGAAATCAAGTGAAACAACGGCTCTGCAAGTATATTTAAGTGGACACGCATCAGGAACGAACAGGTTGGCTCCTACGACACAAGTGACAATTTTTACATGACACACAAGAAGAAATTGCTACTACAATTACTGCATTGTCTTTTTTTATCCTACAACAGTTTTAAATATTTTCCTCTTATGTATTTATTTTAATATCTTGTTGCTTTTAAGTGTCGTACTTTATTGTATTTTATTTTTTTAATTATTATTGGTGTGCATTAGTCTCAATGATTTTAAAAACTACTTTTTCTCAACAACTTTTCTGCACTCTTGTAATCTTAACATTACTGTATTGTCTTTTTTATCCTACGACAATTTCAAATATTTTCCTCTTACGTATTTATTTTAATATCTTGTTGCTTTTATGTGTCGTATTTTATTTCTATACATATATATTTTTAAATTCTTATTGGTGTGCATTAGTCTCTCAATGATTTTAAAAACTACTTTTTCTCAACAACTTTTCTGCACCTCGAACTGCAATGTAATGTGTCCGAAAGGTGCTGTATAAATAAAGTTTGACTGATTGATTGATTGATTGATGACTCATATCACAACATTTTCCTAATTCCAACAGCAAGGAAATAAAAAGACATCGATCACTTACCGGCTCTCCCCAGTTCCTCCTCAGGTCAGGGTGGTCCCACTGGTACCAGGGGTCTCTCTCATGCTGAGATCTGTCTGGGAGCTTTGGATAATCACCAAAACTACAAACACATAAAGGTGGCAGCTTGTTAATTATATTAGTAATCAATGTAATGAGTAATTAATGATTCACTCTGTGGTGGACTATACAGAGTTAAACCTTACTTATCTGCACCCTCAGAGAATAGAGAAACTGATCTACAACCAATGCATACATAAAGCTTACCCCTCGCCTTTGTCGGGATATGGTTCATAGTCTTCAACCTTCATGTTGTACTTCTTTGCAGCTGCAGCTCTCTCCTCGGGGGTCGTCGGAAAAGGACCCAGTATGGTATCCTTTGAAGGACCAGAGGCTGAAACATCAAGTCACATGTTCATAAAACCAAGTCAAACTTTTAGAGCCCAAACGGGAAACAGAAGAAGAAGAAGATGAAGAAGGAAAAAGCGATGCTAGTAACGTGAGCTAGCGTTAGCATGTCAAGGTTATGCCCGGTCGACTCTTTTAAACTTTAAACTTTAAACTCAGACGCGTTTGTTAAACGACATTAAACTGACCCTTCAAACCAAATGGTTCAGCGCAGCTTACCTGCTCTAGCACCCGACAAAAGGCCTGCAATGCCAGAACCTTTCCTTTTAGGAAGGGCTTGGGCCCAACGAAGGAAGCCTACACCAGCCATGTTTACTGGCTGCTGCTGTCTGACGGACTGAGAAGTACGCATGCGCAAGTACGGAAGTAAAAGGTCGGCGTAAGGACCAATCCCAATCTTTGTAACATAGCAATAAGTAAGGTCTTTTACCTGCTTTTTGTAACATAACAATAAGTAAGGTCTTTTTTCCTGCTCTTTTGTCATGTTAAAAGACAAAGAGTAAGGTATTTTACCTGCTTTTTGTAAAGTGATAACTCGAGATAACACTATGTTATAAGTTGACACTATACAAATAAAAATTGACTGATTGATTTGATTGATCCCATGCTGCACATTATTTCTGGTTAAAAAAATGAAATAATAAACCCCTGCTGCGTAACCCAAATCAACATGTTCATAGAGTAGTTTAAAAAAAAGAAGTGACGACAAAATAACGACAAATTATGGAAGATTTTATTTTTTTATTTTTTTATTGATATACTCATTGTTGAACATTTCTTTAAGGCGTATATCATCACATTGTGAGACAGTCTGATAATAAAATAAAAAACTCCTCCAGTGGCTGAAGGGAACTGGTTCTCAGGGTGAATGCACTAAAGCCTTGAGGCCTGTTCCTCTTCCCATCAGATCCAGCTCAGGTGCATAAGGGCATTTACTGGGGGATCGTCACTCTGCCACCGGTTAAAATGGAAGATAATCCATCAGACAAGACCTGCTATGTCCTTCTCCACTATCTCAACAGGGCAATGAAGTTCATATCTGCAATAAATGGAAAACATTATAAAGATTATGATAGTTTTCATACAGGAGATCTCTGAACTGAAATGTACCTTTTGAAGGGCCTGCCATCTGCAGTGATTAAGAACTTCTCAAAATTCCACCGAATGTCATTGACTTTGATTGGAGACCAGTAGAATTTCTTTATATCTCCGATCACAGGGTTCACAAACGGGAGGGATTCCTGAGGCAAATGGGAAATGAACAACACAAAGAACAGGTGCAGCATAAGCACACGATATGGATAAAGTTTCATCCGTTACTTTGCGTATCCCAATGTAGTAAACACATAGAACATACCTTTAGATATGTGAAAAGAGGCTCTTCGTTTAGTCCATTCACCTCAACTTTGCCAAAGACAGGAAACTTTGGCACAAATCCTCCTCCGGGTCTCACATACTTAAGGATATTGAGGGTTTCATGATTGACCTCTGAAAAATAAGTTGTGACTTAAATGTTTGAAACACAGTAGCTTATACCTAATACTTTTTTGTGTCGGTCATTTAAAACAAATGGCAGAGGAAGTATTAAAACTCCTGAAATAAGTTCACACACAAACAGAATATTAATGTAAAAGTTACTCAAATTAAAGTATGACTCATCTTTTGTGAAATCCACAATTAATCCACTTTATAAGTCAGTGTTTAAATTTGTCATAGAAAAAAAATTGAAAGCTGTCATTCAGTCTTCACAGTTGTTTTGAATTTCATAAGATTTCAATTTTGAAATGCAAGTCAGAATCTTAGAAATGAAATGAATGTAGTTGTCAATTAAATAAAGTTGATAAAAAAAAGTGCAATGTCGACAATGACAGGTATAATTCTATGAACAGAAACGAGACTGCAGTGAGGGACGAGATGTTTCATCTGGCAAACAACCAGACAAAGAAGAGTATAATGTATTATAAAACGGTTCTTCACGCAGTACTAGTGCATAATACACAATACACAGTTACAAGTACAGAGTACAGGAAGAATTCATCACATTTTAAAGCTGCAGTGTACCTACCAGGTGACTGAAGGCCGAATTGGTTGCAAGTGAATCCCAAGACAGTGAAGTTGAGTTGGCCAAACATTTCCATCAGTGCATTCAGTCGGTGGTACTGAAGGTAACAGGACACAATTATCAAACAACTCTCAATAAAACCGCTGCACTACTTATATGTTATGAGATAAATTGATCTGACTGTAATCAATCAGTGCTCTTGCAGATTATTACCTCCTCTATAGTTGACCCTCAGAAGGTGGCAACATTGATGATGAGCAGCACCTTCCCCTTGTAGCTACAGAGCGGAACCGGCCGTCCATCCAGGGTCTCAGCAGAGAAATCATAGATTGATTTATTCGCCATGCTTGTACTCTGGCTTGTATATGGGATTGTAGTCAGTCAAGAGTGAGTATTCACTCGGCTATCCTGTTGGCTCATCCCATTCACTGAATCATAACTCATGGGTCAGCAATTGTTCAGCATGACTGACTTCATTGTTCTCCTGGGCAGAGGTGAGCTGGCAGGATGGTCATTTGTTCGACGTATGTATCCCATGGAAACAGGCTGCTATTATGAGAGCAGGTTGATGTCATTGGGAAATCAAAACTCAAAATAAACACACTGTTTACAGGTCTGCAGCTGCACCACAGAATTCGTCTCAATAGAAATGAGAATATCAGAATAGAAGACGCTTTATTTGTGCGATAGTCTAAAATCATTGTGTATAGGCCTACTTACACATATCAATCTGTGAAATACTCTTTCCCCAAACAGGACTGAAATCTTTATTTATTATTACATGTTGAATAAAGCCTATTGTCATATCTTTTACTACTTTCTTTACTTTACAGTTCACACACTACTACTTTCTAAAAAAAAAAAGAGTTTAAAAAAAAAAAAAACCAACTTAACAAGAATCTACGAAATGCTGCTTAATGTATCATTATTCCAGTATAAGAGGTCTTTACAAAAATTCAAACAGTTTTTCTATTATCATGTAATTAAGTAGGACATGTAAATTGCCTTTAACCTAATCACTGACGTAAACCCGGAAAAATGGCAGTGTTGCGTTCATCGCTACAAGAACACCCGTATGCACATGATAATATTGAAGTCATTTTAAACGTGTCATCATAAGACATCTTTGATTACCCCCCAAAAAAGTACAACCATGTGAAAGAATATGAATGTATAAAAAAGAAATGGCGATGTATAGTTATTTAGATAAACAAGTAGGCCTACAGTGGCGCAGATGTTGACATTTTGATTAAAAAAAAAAAAAAAAGGGGGAACCGAATGCATTTTTTAGCAGTCTGCCTATACAATTTCCGTCAGATTAATAATTGGCTTTTTTTTAAATTCATTGGGAGCCATATATTTCTGTAATGACATATTTATACCCGTTAGTTCATGTTTTATTATGATATCAAACTAGATTCTCCCGACTGTACCTGAAGGCAACATTTAGGTTTGGGTTACACCTCAAGTGCTTGCAAGATGCTACAGGAGAATACGCTATGTTGGCATATATGTGAAAAACAACGCGTCGTTCAAAACCGTGTGTAACATCGATGACTCAGAATGGAAGAAGAAGCTACGATAGCAACGTAAGTGCCTTTTAAAATGTTGTTTTGTGTTTGAAATGCACTAGATAAGGTGGCTGTGGCAGGCTAGCTACTCAGCTAACAGCCAAAGCTCGCCAGTAAAAACAGCCTGAGATGCTCTTATTGTTTATTTATGGCAGCCCAACTTGTTTAATGAAACATATCGTAGCTTGAATATAGTGCTAATGTAATATAAATCGCAGCATACCTGGATTTGCAAGCGTTTCAACATTCAATTGATTGCATTCAGTATCAAAGTACAGCAAGCTTTGCATTCTTTCAGATGTGATCTGTTGGACTTGCCCTGGGAGGATGTACTTGTTCCACATATTTTGTGCTATCTGCCATTGCAACACCTCGTCAGCCTGCAGAGGGTGAGCAAGCAGTTTCACAGCCTCATCCAGTTGTATCTGGCAAACTGCAGGACTTTTGATCTGTCCCCGGTAAGTCCTTAAGACTCAGACTTTAAAAGCCTGTTATTGTACATTGTTAGGTTTTTGCTGAGGACAGAATAAGCTCTTTGGGAAAGTGTTTTGTTTGAGTTGTTGTGCCATTCACAGATTGGACCGTCCGTTCCCAAGGAAGCCTTTTGCGCCATGTTAAAGGACAATAAAGTCCTCCACAGCCTGTCCCTGCAGAACTGCTCCGACTGGGTGACAGACAAGGAGCTGCTGCCGGTGGTCGGCCAGAACCAGCACCTGCAGAGAGTGGACATGAGCGGGAGTGCTTGGCTCACCCGGCACTCCCTGGTGGCCGTGTCCTTAAGCTGCATGCACCTGCAGCACCTGGGCCTGGCACACTGCGAGTGGGTGGACAGCCTGTCCCTGCGCAGCCTGGCTGACCACTGCGGGGGGCTCGAGTCCATCGACCTCACCGCCTGCCGCCAGCTCAAGGACGACGCCATCTGCTATCTGGCCAAGAAGTGTCTGAAGTTGAGGTCTCTGTCGTTGGCGGTCAACGCAAACATCACTGACGAGTCGGTGGAGGAGGTGGCCAAAAACTGCAGGGGCCTGGAGCAGCTGGACCTGACGGGCTGCCTGCGGGTCAGGAACCAGTCCATCAGGTACATGATGTCTTATTTTTTAAGTGTAACCCAGCTAACTTTGTGCCTTCCATGCCCAAACTTTCACTTGTGCAACCATCCGTAAGACCCTCTTCACGCTGTGCTCACAGGACTCTTGCAGAGTACTGCCCCAAGCTGCAGTCCCTGAAGGTGAACCACTGTCACAACGTGACCGAGTCGAGCCTGGATCCTCTGCGGAAGCGAAATGTAGTCATAGATGTTGAGCCGCCTTTACAGAGGGCTCTGGTGCTTCTTCAGGATGTGCTGGGGTTCGCTCCTTTTATCAATCTCCAGATATAACAAGAGGGCCGTCTATCTGTCCAACGAGCGCACACAGGTGGGAAAAATAAACGTGTGAGAATCTTGACATTTGTATGTCCAAAATTGTGTATCATATATTCAACAACAATGAATTTGTTATTGTTTTTTTGTTTTTTTGCAGTCCATAATGCCAGTGACAGGCCCGGTCCATCAATAGTAATCAAAGCTTTTCTCATCTTTTGTTTCAGGTGTCTTTATCAGAGCAGTCACCCTCAGCTGCACCACAAAGAGTTATGAGTTGTTCTTAAAAAAATGTCTCAAGATAATCCAAGAAGATGGGAATGTCGTGCACTCAAAGTTTGTGTGTCAAAAATTAAAAAAACGCTCACTTGAATGTGCTGATATAGATGCATATTTAAGAACTGAAATCAAGTCTACTTGAAGAAAGCCATGAACTTTTAACAACTGCTGCCACGTGTCCAAAAGGTGACACTGCTTTTATTTCTTTTCTTTTTTTTGTAAATCTTACGTGTTGTAATAATGTGTCTATGAAAAAGAGCAATGTGAAGTGATGTTTGTTATCAAACACAGTACATAATTCACTTTGTGTATATCATTTCTTAAAAAAAACAACAACCACACAACATATATCTTATGTTTCATTTAGAAACATCAAAGTAATGTTTGAGTTTAATTAAACATTTCATTTTGCATGAATGTGATAGTTTAAAGAGTCATTCTCTCCGAAATATCTTCCACTTTTTTCTGCTGCGGTCACATTAAAGTAAAGGTAAACGAAGTCTTGTTAACAGTGCTTATTGTTTCAGATAAAACATCACAGCTCCTCAGGATTATTCACTGACCTCACAGTCATATTTCAATACAAACTGTTGACCAGCTCTTTTTATTACAGTGGACATTATATTTATTCTACCTGCATGGCAAGTTGCCGCCAGAGATTTTAGGGAAACTGTTTTTTTGTGACGCAGGTGAAATTACCCTTTAATCCATAATGATCATAAATACATTACATGTATAGCCCAATGTTTGCTTGAAATGACTGAATTCATAATGACCGTTTTCCGTTAAAGCCTTTGCTTTTCTTTTGTCAAATGTACCTGTGTTAAAATGCACTTCCCAAGTAATACGGTGTATGAATTATGTAAGAAACATAACATTTTAAAATACAAAGATGGTTGTCACCTCTCCTCTGTAAAAAAAAAAAGAAAGAAGAAATGCTAGAGCCGATCCCATTGGGCGAGAGATGGGGTACACCCTTGACTGGTTGACAGTCAATCACAGGGCTGCATAAAAGTTGGTAAAAAAATTAAGTTTCCATTTGTGTCAAGATTTGTGTGGTATTAACATTGTTGATTTTATGCAAAAATGAACTGGTAAGTGTATAGGTGGCAAGATAAGTGTTTTTGCATGCTGTACTTTATTTCATTTTTTAAAAAGATTTTGGGGGCCTTTTTGCCGTTATTTGACAGGATAGTGGAAAATAGAGGAGAGAGAGAGAGAGAGAGAGAGTGGGGAATGACACTTGGTGAAAGGGGCCACAGGTCAGACTTGAACCCAGACCCTCTGCTTGGAAGACTGTAGCCTCCAAACATGGGGTGTGACCTAACCGCTCGGCCATCTACACCCCAAATTGCATGCATTATTTTAATACAATAGAACGTTTGTTCATCCTTAATGTACATGTGTCTATATCTAAATTCTGTTGCATACATTAAGGTTACTTGAATTGCAGCTGGATGTGACTTTGACCAGACCGTTGTTGAAAATGATTGTTATAGTTAGTGAGAAATGTTTTTTTTCCAAGTATGAGAAACAAAATAATACACAAATTAAGGGGAAATGCAGACGTTTCCATTTGTTCCTGACATATTATGTTAAACTGTTCAATATATTGACTCAGGCTTACTTTCCCGACAAGCTTTTAAAAACAAAAGAAATACAATTGATGTGGCTCATCGTTCTCTTATTCCTAAGCTGCAGAAAACATTCACCTCCTCAGTGTGTTGTTTTATGTCTTAAACGGACACAAGGTGGCAGCAATGAGTCAAGATATTTATCTGTTTTGACTGCTGGTCAAGACGCCGCATGGCTTCATTACATGCAGAAACAAAGTGATAGTTTACAATACTTTATATAGATTATTATAGAGTTTTAGGTGTTTAAAAAAAGGCCACCAATACCTGATCATATAGTCAGATTCTGGATCAAATATCTTTATGATCTTGTTAAAACATGATGGAGTTGGGGTGCAGCTGGCCTGGTGGTTGGTTCTGGAGGCTGTAGTCCCCTGGGCGGGCGGCCCGGGTTTGGGTCCGGCCTGTGGCTCCTTTCCTGTGTGTCGTGCCCTGCTCTCTCTCTCTCTCTCCCTCTGTCTGCTTTCCTATCTGAACCCCCCAAAATGAACCTTATCAAAACAAAACACGACTGAGTATATGCACAGAATGAATGCTTCCCTCTGTTGCTGTAGCTATGTGTTCAAAATCCCCCTTAAAGTTCCCTCTGTTGGTTCCGTTCTGCAGACTATATTGAAACTTGTCTCTGTGACAACAGGTCTATTTTCCACTTGATGGCATGGTTTAGCCCATCTGCTGCGTGTTGTCCACACGCTGAATGTGCACCAACAGAGAGTTGTGTTTGGAGGGCTTCGAGGATCGACCAGCGTCCTTCTGTTAGCTCTGCTGATCATCATATTGTAGCTCTGAGACTCAGAGGAGACATCACAGTGTCATTACTTATGAAGTAAATCTGGAAGTGAAATAATGGGATCACGCTGTGGATGAAAACATTTACCAAAGTGAGCAGAAATGTTCTCAAATTTCAAGAAAGAATTAAAGACGGAAAGGTTAATATTTTTTCCTTATAATAACAAAATATGCAACAAAATACTTTTCTTTCCTTCTATTTTGAGTGTATTTAAAAAAAATACAGTAAATGCCACTATTAAAAATGTAGCAATATTATGAGCAAAAACTTAAAATAGAGCGGTTCCTCAGAATAACAAATGATGCAAAAGAGGTCAAAGTAAATGTCCTGGCATCTTGGACAGAGATTTTCAACAAACAATCGATGCAATATTTGCCAAAAGTGAGCTCCAGTTTTCAACATCGACCCAAATTGAGCACTTAAAGCATTTCACATAAGGATCAAATATGGTCTGGACAGCATTTTACCCCTTAATATGACAAATGGTGCACAAAAAGGTTGATGCTCTTTTGTCCTTACATCATAATGCTTGGACAAGGGTTTTTAGTCTGTAGTAGAAGACATTATTTATAAGACCTTTCAAAGAGTTTTCTTTCATTTCAAGAAAGATTAAAAGATTTGTTTGCTTATCACTTTCCTCCACAACATACAAAAAGGCAAAATGTATTATCTCCTTTGTCCAAGAGCAGAGATATACAATACGTAGCTGCTAATATTAACCCAAATCAATCAAGATTTCACATATTGGGAGCAAGAATTTCAGATGTTCTGTTTAGCGTTCCCCTCGTCCAAACAACACAAGATGTGAATCTGTTATGTGATCTTTTGTCCTATCATTCTTGGGAAAATGGGTTTTTAGTTTCTAATATTTAGATTCAAGATTTTTATTTGTCACATGCTCAAACAGATGTGCATGCAATACCAAATCTAGTAAATGGAGTAAGATTTGACTTGTGTTTTTAGCTTAATGAAAGTTGATCTGGTATGTCATTCTTCCTTGAGATTAGTACATTTATTGGCGGATAGCCCCTTCAGATGAAACATCTCGTTTTCAAGGGGAGAGGCAACATTATGTAAAAAGATGATACATTTTATGTCTTTAAACCAACACACACTGATAAGGCATTTGAATTTACAGTATGAATAGGATTGAAACTATGAACTATAATTCATGAATCCCTTCTTCTTTGTTGCTTCTCAGTAGTGAGCGGGTTAAAAAACGTTTGAGGCTACATTCATCATGTAGGACCTCAATTAGCATTGATCTGCAGGGGGGGAAAGAAACATCGCTGTGTGTTATTATATACCATGGAGCAATTTCTGTTCCAGTGATTGAGTGTATGGGGGGATTTCTGTAACATCGCCGGCCCGACATATTTTGTCTTCCTGTCAATAATCTAGCACTTGTCTAAATTATTGATCAATAGCAACTGATCATATTATACCAAGGCACAACAATGAAGGTGGTCCATTCCATTCAGTACGCCACGTTCAGCCCCCGGCAGTGTGTTATATACTGTACTTATTAAAAGTAAGAATAAATTTGAGTTTAATCTCTGGCTGCTTTCAAAGTCCTCTCTGACAGATGCGTAACTTATTGAGTCTCATTCATGTGTGTGTTGTAGCTACTGGATCGCACAATCAGGATGCTGCCATCTCTCTTACTCTGCCCTTTTTCCCCCACAGCAAGCATTCTCATTTGTCAAAGGAGAGAAAGCACAAGTGGAGCATATAACTTAAAGAACCTGACCGATATGGGACTTTTCAGGCAGATAACAGAACATAGTTTTTCTGGGGCTATTTGTTCCTTTACTGAGAGACAGGATAGTTGTTACAGTCGGAAATCAGGAAGAGAGAGAGAGTGGGGAATTACATGAGCCACAGGTCGGATTCAAACCCCCTTGTTGGAGGACTATAGCCTCCATACATGGGGGGCGCGCACTAACCATTACGCTTCTGGTGCCCCAACAGAACTGATTTTTAAAATGAATAATTCACAGAATGCGGATATATGATTTCAACTTTCACTGAACATGAAATCTCAACAGATATAACCCCAAAGATACTGCATCCCTTGAATAATATTTCTATTGAGTTGTGTTAATTGTGCTCGTAAAAAAACAACACATTTTCGCCTCTAAAAAAGAATTAACCACATGAAAAATTGTGCATCAAAGTGAAACAAGAGACTGGAATGTTGACACTTCAGAAGTAAAATAAATAAATCAAACAACGTGGTTTGGAAAAAAGTAAGAAAAACCAGGTTATACTTCTTTTTTTTTTGTTTTTTTTAATAAATGCAAGGTATTATTTCCATCTCAAGCAAGAAAGTAACAGATGCTTCTCAAGGAAATAATCAGAATATGGTTTAGGCCACTTCACAGCTTTGTAAAAGCCGCTCAGATAAAGTGGAGCGAGAGAGAGAATTGCTGTAGCTGTTCAAATCAGCCCAAAACTGTGTCAGAGATTTTGTTCATTTTCATATTTTTAATTAACAGACTTCTAACTCCCGTCTTCCATCAGTGAACGAGTCTTTCTTTCATTTATTAGATGTAGTTTATCTCCTCCAACCATTCACATACAGCCTTATTGGATCCTGCGACTTAGGGATCCATCTTTTGGCCACCAGAGGAGCAGAACTAATGACAACATTAAAAGTGGCTTTGTGAGTGCGGCCGTCAAAATGTCGATCAACCAAGCAAGAAATAATGTTGGAGTTTGAAAATCAGCATGAATAAACATGTATGTTTGGAATCTGAACAGTCAGCGGGCTCAATTTGAGCAGATTTCAGAAGTGTTGATGAACAAGACATCTCTCTGTTGCCTTTGAAACGACATTTGAAGTTTTCTTGGACTTATCTTTCAGAACCATTAGCATCTTCTTAATTGCTGTGCTCTTAACCCCAGAATGAGCAGGAAGCCCATGATCAGCTAGCTACGGCTTTGTAGTTATCACTAACTTTATTTATGTCCTCATAAAGACATTTTTCTTACTTATCTTGCAGGAATAGAGCATATTAGATGGTGTGATCTCTAAGAGATTTGTAAACTATGAAGTAAGGGTGCCCTCTGCTGGACATAAAACATGATGACACAATTTTCAAAGTCCCACTTAAGATGTGGATTTCTGCATTAAAAGTTCTGTAAAAAAATATGATTACAAAGAAAATAATATAACTGTAAATTTCAGAAAACATAAACTCAAATATCAATATATCTGTGATAGGCCCATATTGGCACTATAATATCGGCATTAAGATAAATCAGTCAGGTTTTTAAGAACAACAGTATATATTCAACCTCACATGGAGCCATCAGGGAATTGATTTGTTATTTAAGTGTTATGACCATGTGGAGGTCCCCACAGTTAACTTGCTTTTAAGTAATAACTTTATTCACAAACAAACCAAAACCATTATTATGCCCTTCCACTCAGGTGAAGCCAGTCAATAATCACAGGCAGGTGGGCGGGGTCTCTCAAGTCTCAGCAAGAAAGCCATAACCGACCACCAGAGGAAGCCAAAGCTCTGAAACAGAACAACAATACCAGGCAAAACACACACAGAAGGGCCAGGGTTATTAAACTAACTTTTATCTGTTTGTCTTTGTTATATATGAATAGACCGTTTCTCTCAGGTTCCCTTTGTTGCTTTCTTTATTTTT